TTAAAATATGTTATAAGTGAGCGCACAACGTTCTATTATTCTAACCAGAGTTTTAGTTATTAAAACGTAAACGTAAAAGATGTTGTTAATGCGTACAGAGTTGGTTTTATAAAGCAACCTGTCGATGATCTAAACAAGAGTTTTTTAATAATTTTTGTCTTGCTTATGTGTTCCCTATGAATGTCGACGTAACCTACCACAACGTTATTGAAATGACAAAGAGCGTGAAAGAGCATAAAATTTTATAATCTGCAATATTATAAAAGAAATCGTTTCACCTAACTTAGCAAGCCTTCGACAACACATGAAAATTGAGCGGAAATCAGTAATGGGCGTTTGTTCAATACACATCAGCCTGAGAAATTTACAAAACGTGAAACCCGACATTGAAGACAACACAATAAATATTGAGCCCCGAGATAAAACGAATACGAGCATTGCAGCCATATATAAGCGTATGCATAAAAACGAATCTCGGATTTATTAATAAGAGCGCAGTATATACGCTATAATAATTGCAAAAACAATAGCAACCGTTACTGCGTAATAAAAGCATCACCAACAACAAAATAAAGTCCAAAGTCTAACGGCACTTTTGTTCGGGGAATTCCTTTCTGTTCGTGTATAGCGTCGTAACGTATGCATTTATATTATAAGCGCAAGAGGGGCAAGAGTTGGCAAAAAAAAAAAGAAAGATTCCAATTGCACATATGTGTACGACAACGATTCGTATAATTTGGCACAAACCCAGACGATAGACGAGACGTAGTTTAACACCAGTATAACGGTTCTACTTACGGGTGTTACGGAAGAGCGGACCACACAAGCACCTCACACGAAACATAAGTCGTGTGTAATCCCAAGCCATATAAAAATCGAATACCAGAGCGATAAGGAATAATAACGATAGAGAGAGTGAGAAAGAGAGAAAGCGAGAGGGAGAGAGACCGAAAGGGAGAGAAGGAGAGAACGAGAAAGAGAGATCAAAGCAAGATACGTCTTCCAGAAGAGAGTCGCCTGCTTGCAGTCAAGAGAGCCCTGCTCCAAATATCCACATATTTGCGGTCTGCTAAGAGATTTGTTTTTACAATTTATACGCAGTCGCCTGCAAAACAGAGAATATATATATATTCGCTCATTTGGACCTACATATGCATAAATCTATATAAAAATACATATGATTGTGTGTGCACATGTAGGCAATCATTCAAATAATGGAATGAGGCCGACTGTCTGTAAAGTGGCAAGCAGCTCACTACCACTACTACTACTACTATTTCTTATTTACTATACACTATCAACGCTACTATGGTTTTGCGACAGACAAGAGTTTATTGTTCCAGTGACTGTGGCCAAGCGATAGTCGGCAGCGGTGTTGATGCAAAGATATCACCAACTTAACGCTGGGAGGGTGCTAAGGCGCCGACGCATCTAACGCAACATACACATGTGCATACACATCAATAACGGACCAAAGAATAAAAAAAAAAAAAACCGTCCTTTTTGCCAAACATCTGTACCGCGTGTTATAATATTATCCAAGCCCAGTTTCTATACCGTTAATTTGGCTTCTGTGTGCTTTTACTACTCATTCCGTCATTGCAACATTGTCTGCGCCTTCTCTATGCATTTGTATTTGGTATCAAATAAATATGTGCGTGTATATATAATACTCAGTCTGTCTGCTGTTTTCAGTTTAGCTGCAGTCAACAGCAGCATCGGCATTTCCTTCGTTCTGATTTGTATATTGTTACACAGCGCAATGACTGTTTGAATATTCGTTTTTATTTGAAAAAGAGTATAAGGTGACCAGATGCGTAAATTCATCTTTTTTTTATATTGATTAAAGAATTTACGATCTTGCGGAAGACCCTGGGATTTATTACTTTAAAAGTGATGAAAATATTATAGGTAGGCCAAGCACAACGATTATTTACACCAATTTGCGTAATAGTCTCTCTCTTTATTTATTCCCCAACACCTTCGCACGGAAGCCTCGTATAATGGAAGGTAGTCCAAATTTGAAAAATTTTCAAAATCTCAAAGACCTTATTACTCTTTATCTACTTTTGTAATTAAAATTTGTTGATATAGACAAAGCTTACTTTTTTCACTAGAATATATAGATGAGATAAGATCACCGATATGATCCAAATTCAGAACAGTTGACTTTTATGCCAAAGCTTTATTATTGACCAATTTTCATTATAAAATATTAAAAATTACACACTTTTTCTATACAAAAACGCACGAGTGGTTAAGTGTGAACGAGAAAATAAGTTCCTTCGGTTCAAATTGTCCAGATCAATGTAGCATTTGAAAATATTATCACTCAGCGATTTTTGTCGCAAAATTTTTAAAAATAAATATTTTTCGCATTACGATTTTCTTCCAAATAAGGTATTATATGAGGAGCTGTCGTAACAATATAATATATTTTCTGCAATAGGCATTGTCAACCCGGCAGTGCGACTAATTTCGTGAAAATACATCCAACCTGTGAGTTGCAAAGAACAGAACCTTGACGGTCGAGGTTAAATCGATTCAGGTCTAAAGATAGATTTATCTCAAGCCCTCCTGAATGTCACATACATCCGCACAAGATCAATATGCATTGGAAACCGCATCATCAGTGTGAAAAACAGAAAAGACTAAGCAAAACTGACTTGGTCATGTCGGCCCGTTCGTCCCCCTGCTGAAATTATCCAACCACTAACTGTGAGATAACATTTGATTGTAGCATAAAGCGAAGAGACTTTCTTTACATATATATATCATGCACATCATGCATTTTAGCTCATATTATGTACAACAACAAGCGAATAACTTTTTAAGTTCAAACTCAAGCTCATATATACCGCCTTAGTTGTACGTACTTAAAATTCATTTAAATCAAACTTGAAAATTAAGGCGAATGGCTGGAACAAGACACTGATGTCGTAAGAAAACGGGAAATTGAAACGTCCTTTTTTCCTGTTAGGTTTGCTAATCGTGCGCAGATCAATAAATTGATTGACATTATAAGAAGATAAGAGATAAGCGGCCGCGTTACGATAACCAATTTTACGAACGCGGATAGAGTTTCCTTTTATGGCAACAAAAATTTTGGCAGATGTTCTTTGTTATTGTTGTGGATAAGTTAATGGGAACATAAAATTTCTACTTATTTTTTGCACCCTACACTGCCTGCGATAAGGGCATAGCAAATTTATTCCGACTGAAGTGGTTTATACCAATCCATCAAAAATATTTTCTTAACCGATTCAACAATGACTCTGCACCCATCTGTCTGGTGAATGTCTGATATCTGTTCAATCTACAAGTCGCAAATTTCGACATAGTTTGATGAAATTTAGTTCACTGGTCTAACCTGAATCATTGAAAATGCATTGCATCTTTGCGCTTTTGAACCAGTTCCGATATGAAGGCATTACATAAAACCTGCTCTCGTTTCAATGGTTCTCGACAAAAGTCGTTGAAAAATAGTATTTTGACTTGAACTTGAACAGTCACTTGAGGATCTCACCGATTGAGATAATTTCAATATTCAGCTAGCAACTATTTCAAAGGATATATACGAAGATGACCTTCATCTGGTCGCCTTGTTACGTTAATTTCAAGCATACAGTCGTCATAAAATCGAATGAATGAACGGAAATTTTCGGAGACGAAATTTTTTGGCTTTTAAGACTTTTTCTTGCATTCATACTTCGTTCGTAGTCCACATGAAAATAGGATATGGGTCAAGTGCGTTGCAAATCTTAAAAATTTATAGGATATCGTATCGGAAAAAAAGTTTTTTCTTCTTTTGTAAGCATTGCTTTGATAATATATCGTATTTTTATAATATCGTAATTGCATTTAAGAAACTTCGGGTCTCCTTTTTCTGTTCATTGACAAGTACCGTTTTTGACTTTTAACTACAATCTTATGCTACCTCTCACAATCACTTCACTCATACCGTAAATATACTTAACAGAGTTCGTCTATATGCGTTTACATCAAAGTTTGTTAGGAAAAACTTACAACAACAACAAGTACAACATGAACATGGGAAAAAGTCATGAAAAACTAAACAGCGCTGTCAGCATTCAGTACAACACTGAAAAATTGCTTTCTCTGCCCATCTGTTATTTTGTTCTTATTCTGCATTTTTTTTTTTTTTTCTATTTTCTTTTTTTTTTAATTTTTTTTTTTTTTTTTTTCTTTCCAAAGCTAACAATCAGCCGACCAAGCACTATGCAGCAGCAGCAGCAGCAACAGCGGCCGCATGGCATGAAACAAGCAGAACGGCGGGCTGCACATTTTCAAACAAGCACAGCCAACACAGACACTATTCTCGTTGAGTAAGCTTAAGTTGTAGTTTGGCATACAAACATTTCAGTTAAAACGGAACTTTCACAAGAAACGGTGGTTTAAACAAATGCTTGTCTGACTTTAAAATACATTTACAGCTGCTGTTGTGCTAATACGCTTGTGATACCTGATTTATTAAGTGACCAGAGTAGTAGTAACCGCTTGATTGTAAGCGCAAATACATAGTGACTGTGCGTGCGTGTTTGTGTGTGTTTTCGTATGTGCATTAAATTGAAGATATTCTCGAACGGATGGATGGATGAATGATTTAGAGTTATATACTTAGTACGTCTGTGGCTGGTTTAAGAATAACGTTAACATTCTAGCAAAGAGGAAAAAAGAAAAAAAAAAGTTCTTTTTAAATATATATATATTAAATTTAAAATACATTTAAATTTTTTTTTTTTTATTTTTCTTTTTTTTGGAAAGAAAGAAAAATCTGGCAGTTAAACTATGAACGTTAAAGATGAATATGTCGGTGCGTGTG